TTTTTACTGTACCTTAGCTAGATGGAGCTAGTCTTTATGTTTAAACTGAAATAAGTGTCAAGAGTATTCTTTATCTAATCTCTGATTTTCGTGACGAGTTCTAGTGAGGACAACTCAGACTTATTTACAAAAAATTAAGGAATGAAAAGCTAAAGTATTGACTCGCTGTTGGGCCAGTCCTTTGCCATTGACTTCATTGGGCACAGCCTTCATCAACTTAATTGGGTGTTTATTCTCCACAGCAAGTCACATAGATCTTCACATCCAAACTTTCAAAGTTAATCTCCAATTTCTGCCTCTCACCAGAACTATGTAAAACTCAGGGGGGTTAACTGACAAGGATTCATGCAAAGTTTTTCTTCACCGGGGTCAAACCACCTGTATTTGGCTTTAATAATCTGAAACTCAAAACAACACTCAGTCAAAACCACAAAGTTTGAAGTTGTTTCAAAATCAATAAATCAGCATTCAGTAGCTCAAAAATATGTACAAATTCATGGTTTCAGGTTCTGCAGCAAACATTTCACACAGTCCTACCCCCATATAAAACGACCATTGTTAAAAACTCTTCTATTTTGTCTAACCTGCTGGACAATATTCTAGTCCTGCAAAGATTACTACCCATGTGTAAAGTTATAATGTGCTTCTGTCTTTCCAAGGCAGGGTCCCTACATAATATTAAATGTTAAGATTTTTCCTGACATTTAAAGGGGTTTTGCAAAGTTATTTCAGTTTCACAAAAAAAGTTTCAGTTCACAGTTGTTTTCCATTCCTAAACTTATCTTTTTGCAGTAATTCACCATTTAAAATAATGTGTTTTCACTGAGGGACTCATAGCAATTTACAGCTCATAAATGGGCAATTGTACATAATGTATAATATTAAAAAGCTTTGTACGTACACCCCACCTTGTGCAAATGTTTTATCAAAGTAGCAAGTGTTGTCATCAGCCTCTTTCTGGAATCACTTCCATTTTAATGAATAGATTCCAGGTGTTTGGCTCCATGGGCCGTTTTAAATATTTAAAACAAATATGTACTGGTCAATGTTAATATTTGGGCAGCTGTTTGAATGAATATTTGTGAAGATCATTTGTTTTTGTTGCAGTTGCCTCAGTTCTAGATCCATGGAGAGTTGCAGCCTTTAAATGCATTATTTAATGCTTCACACAGGATAGGTATTAATTATATTATATTGCAATAATTAGCCATTTGTGGCCTGATCCTGCAGATCTTTTCCTCCAATGGGAGTTTTGACTAAGGATCACACAATTGAGTCTTGATGTAAGTGTTGCATTTTTACTGCAAAAATGTACAAGTACAAAAGAATCATGCCTTAGACCCCGATCCTTATAAACAAGCTATGCAGACACAGAATCCCTTTGACATTAATGTAGCGCAGGGGGCTGCATGAGTGGAAGCCATTGCAAGATCAGGGCTCAAGTGTTTCATTATGAAGTTAAATAGCCCATTTAGGCAAAGAATCCTCCGTGTTATATGAATATCTTAAATGAAACAAGGCTCATTGTCCAAGCAAGATGGCTTCACAATGAAAACATGTAGAAACACATTTTTTTCACATCTTCATTGTGAAAACGCCCATTTTAACTACACTTTGTATAAAGCAAACTTTGAATTGTGAAAAGGAAGGAAACTAAACATCACACATTTTTGCATGCCATTACACAGACCAAACATTATAATTCTGCACCGTTCTTTCCCTTAGATAATCCTCCTTATGGAGGAACCTAGCTGAAGAAAGCACATCATTGTCCTCTGAATTTTAAAAGGACACTATGAGTGATCCCAGTATTCATACTGTTCCCCACATATCACATGTACAGTATGGTCTTGTCCAAAACTCTCCTCCCGCTTCCTAGGGGTTTGTCATTAGACATCTGCGTCAAATACATATCAGAAGAGGTAAGGCTGTATCCACAAACAGTTCTCCATACAGAACATTGACCAAGGTTAGTTTAACCTTCGTCCCCATCTCCCATAGAGTACCTGTTCTATGTCCTCATTATAGCTTCATTCATGTTAGAATTTCTTTATAATGTAATTATGCTACTTGAGTGTTCAAATATTTTAAAATCCATGAAAAACATCAGACTAAAGTGTACTCCCATTGCTTCTGTAAACACCACCACACTGTCTTGGTGGTTTCCCTACTTTAATAGCATTTACATCAGCCCAGACACGCTTATTCTACCACTGAATTTGTGAGATTGCATGAAATTGGAGAAATAAAAGAAAATATTTCTAACGTCTCCAGTTACTAAGCCCTATAATTGTTTCCATGAGTATACCATTCCCTGTTAGCTCAGCTCCCCACTAAATATTTCATTAGGTGGTTCTTTACAAGCATTAATGGGTTTGAAGCCTAATTGTCAAATAATGTTATTTTGTCTTGAATTATCCAATCCAAATTGTTTTGGATACAATACATCTTCAGTTTTAATTAATTTTCTGCATTAAAAGTACAGTATCAAAGTGGGCTGAAGTTCTAATGCTCTCCTTCTGGTGTTAAATGGCCTCCTTCCTATGGTCTGATGATGATGATGCACAGAACAGCAAGTTAAATCCCAACTAGAGCTGGGCAACTTTTTTCAGCCAAAACATTTTTTCCACAGAAAAAATGCAAATTTGGCAACACCAAAATGCTTTGCAAAAATCCTGTCCATTTCACTGAACAGTTTTAGCTGGAAATTTTTTTTTTTTTTGAAAATTGAAACGAAGTGTTTCCATTTTTCAGTTCAATATTACTTTGTTTTGAATTTCTCCCTCTTCTTTCTGATGTGTGAAACATTCCTCCCTACAGGAACAGTTTACTAAATCCATAAACATATACACATCCTCAACAGCCACAAAATTCTAGCTGATAGAGTGATAGATGGCTGTTTTAAGGTTAGTATAGAGTAGTGGTTCTCAACCAGGGATCTGGGGCACCTTGGGGGGCCGCAAGCAGGTTTCAGGCAGGCTGCCAAGCAGGATCAGTGTTAGACTTGCTGGGGCCCAGGGCAGAAAGCCGGAGTCCCACTGCATGGAGTTGAAGCCTGAGGCCCTCAGCCCCGCCACCTGGGGCTGAAGCAGAAGCCTGAGCAACTTAGCTTAACGGTGCCCCTGTGGTACAGGGCCCTGGACAATTTCCCAGATTGCTACCCCTTAACTCTGGCCCTGGCTTTTATATGCATAAAACCAGTTATTGTGGCACAGGTGGGCCGTGGAATTTTTATAGCATGTTTGGGGAGGGTCTCAGAAAGAAAGAAAAACGTTGAGAACCTCTGGTATAGGGGTCTGTCGTTTTCTTTTTCGTTTCCAATTTCCTAAGCTCCCTCAAATATGACTCAAATTCACTATCACCCAAGTATGCTCTCCTCGTAGCAGTCCTATTTTTCCACTATCAGCATGAATTAACTCTTCTGTTTCCTCATTAAATCATATCCGCCTAAATAATCATTATTGTAGATCTATCCCCTTTAGTCTCCATTAAACATTTGTTTAGTTGTCTTACTTTTCTTTAGCTTCTCCCTTTTCCAGCTACACCTCGCTTCTTTCTCCTCAGGGAAAAAAACAAAAAAACAAAAAAACCAGCTGCCTCTGCCACACATTACATCACTAACAATTGAATGTTCTTGTCACGAACCTTAATTCCGTTTAGCCAGACGGAGGAAACGAAACATCTCAACTCTGGCCCTTAATGGACAAGGCACAGATCCTGAGAAGGTGCAGATTTAGGGAGTGAAGGCCCAATTGACAAATGAGCTGGTGAATCCAATGGTAAAGATCTCAGTTAAAAATAGTCAAACCCCAGCAGAGAGTTGATTTTGTCCAAACTTGTCGTTCCCACCTCCTCTCCCCATTACAATCAGCCCATAGACATATAAGCACAAGGACAACTGCTTCTTCTTGGACTTCTGCAATGTCATCTTAATATTTGGTATGTCCTATATCAAGGGACTACATCCTGACTTTGCCAGGGAATGGCCTAGACTAGATCTAACAGGTTGTTTCCCCTCTAGCAGTTTTGTTGCCACGATTATTACAAACGTAATGGGTGAACTCTTGAGACTTCTTCCTTTGTTAGTCTGAACTAACACTTATTTCAACAAAAATGTGAGAAGTTATCATCTTCATTAAACCTAGGCTTACAGATTTAATTTTTGCTGCAGATGTGCTGTCATACTTTGCTTGAGTTCTGGGCAGTAAATTACAAGACATGTCAATGTAAAGTAGCAGTGAAATCATTTATCATTAACTTGAAGAGGCACATTATTCAACTGTAGAAGATGAGTGTTTTATGAAACACAAAGGATGAGATCATGATTTAGTGACTGGTAGAAGTGCTCATTTTCCTAAATATAGAAGTGTACTTTTGTGGGTGATGGTGGATTAAAGTATAAGCAGTCCAAATAATTTTGCGGGATAATGTTTTCATGTCAGCTATCAGTGTTAAAATGGTCTTATGACATGACTTATTGCTTATTGGTGCCTCTTCCTAACATTCAGCTATTATATTTGTCTCTATACTAATACAATTATACCCCTTATATGTCACCTCATTACTACAGAGGTGCTTTGCAGGGATGTCAGAAAAAGGGCTTAAACATGTTTAAAGCTCTCCACATTTCAAGGGTTTGGGTTATTTGGAATATGGAGATTTCTAAACAAAGACTTTAGCAAGTTCAGAGGTAATTACTTCAATAATTTCTTGACACAGCCATCAATGCATCTACTTGCCTTATGGAAATTATCCCTACTTAGACAGATCATTTGTACAGACAATTGAATGGGATAATGTTATTGCTGAAACTAATAGTGTAAACATTGAAGATGTGCTCAGTGTGGGAAAATTGAGCTCATCACCAAGCAGGGTATCAAACACAAGCCTGAACTGAATCCAAACACATTCCCAAGTTACCAATTACTAGATGAGATTAATGATTGGACTCCACTGTTCTTGTTGAACAATCACTGTAAGGAGCATTGAAGTAACAATACCTTTTCCAGCTGGTGAATCCCTTCCTCCACACAGCATATAGATGCCAGTGTTCTGAGAGTCTGGGGATAAAGGCACCTGAAACAATCCTGGCGGCAGATCTTAAAGAGAGCAACAACACCTCCTTCCTGTAAGAGGAAAGCAAACACAGATCAACAACACTAATGACGACTTTGCACTTCATTGTTCTTTTTGAAAGATCAGGGATAATAAATGTTTTTTCAGTAATTTCTCCAAATTAACTACTGCCACAACAACAAAAAAGGTGTTAAGATTGCACAGAGGAGTCAAATTGATTAGTGCTTATAAATTAGGAGATGAAAGAGTAATGTAGCCTCAGCGGAGGTGTGCTTAAACTATTGACTTTTACCATTTACAAACACCATTTTAATTAAACTTGTCATACAAGTGAAAATTATACACAGAATTATCATTAGAATTTCCAGTCTTGGGGTGGTAGCAATATTAGCTTGAAAAATTTAGCTGGGGAAAGAAGAGGTTCTGCCAGTAAATATTGGTTTTAGGGGAAAAATAAGAAACCCACTGCAAATACTTTACAATCTTCCAAATTTCTGAGTCTCTCTCTCTCTTTCTCTCACTCTCACTCATATACACACACACACACCATTATTGGCCTCATATGTTGCCAAAATGTTACAGGGATGCATTAGAGATTTATGTATGTGTGTATCCATACAAGTGATCATCCTTAAAACATATCCAATTTTGCCTTTATAAAAAGATAACATTATGGCACTTTTCATTACTATTCCAAAGGACTACTATTAATGTAAACACCACCTTTCAAATTCTGGGATTTCACATGAGAGGCAAGCTGTTCATTCTGAGGCCCAAATGACTGAGAAGACCTAGAGTATTAAGTCCAGCAAGGAGACAGACATCCTTGCATAATATCTAAACACATGCAAGGGTGTGAGCAGTAGTAAAAAGGCAAAAAAAAAAAAGTTAGGAATGGTGATAGCTGTTAGAGAAGTGAGGGGGAGCAGAATCCATAAGGAAGATTGCACTTGAGGAGTGATTGGATCTGGGGAAGACTCTGATGAAATTATGTAAACCCGAACAAAGATCTGGGTTCCGGTTGGGCATTGGGCAAAGCTAGATCTTACTTTGCCTAAACAAGTTTTCCCATCCCTAACATAATCATGTATATAATCATCTCTCAGACATACAGATGGTGCTCTGGTGCAGTCAGTCTTCTCCCCAAGTCTCTTGGTCCATTCCTCACTAAGTGGCTACACACACACACACAGGGGGTGAAACTATCCCGAAAGGATATTAATGAAAATATCAAATACTGACATTCTGTTAAAATAGAGACTAATGAGAGCTGCTACAGAAAAGCTTAAGAGAAAAAGGTTGACCTTGTGATTACATGCACTGGGACTTGAGAAACTAGGCTCACTTCCCAGTCCTGTTACACACTTGCTTGTGTGACCTGGGGCAAGTCACTCACTCCCTCTGTGACTTAGTATCTCCATTTTGCTGATGGGAAACTAACACCTCCTTTCTCCTACTCTGTCTGTCTTGTCTATTTACATGATAAGGTTGAGTGTTTCTGACTACGTTTTGTACAGCTCTTGGCTGGGGTCTGTAAGTGCTATCATAAAACAAGTAAGAGTCACATCCCATATGACTCTGAATAACGTTGCAAATTCAAGAGATAAACGCTGATCCATTCACTGATTCCTAAAAATTAGTCAGAAGTATTATTAAATCCTACCCTTTATAAATCTTCAATTGGAGACAAATCCTGAGACAATCTGAGCACCTACAACTCCAATTGACTTCAGTGGGAGATGCATGCACTCTGAACACTTTAGAATTTGACTGAGTTTCTCCATTTTTCTGTGTATAGTTGACATAATGAACGACATCATTAATAAAGAGGAATAAATGTAAATATAAATTTTAAAAATCCAGACACACACTCACTTTCCATGTTTTTATCCTATTTTTACTAATTTGTTTCAAATGTTAAGGCAGTGCTTATACTACATATTGCCTTCAATTATGTAAAAGCAAAGATATAATCAAGATGGAAGCATTTGAAATGTGTTCTCTCTTTTGTTGACAATAGATGAAAGAGCTTAGCCTAAAGCACTTGGAGATTCCAGGAACTAATTAAAAATAATCAAACATGAACCAAAGGACATTCAGTAAAGGTAGAAATCCTCAGGCATCTTCCTAAATACACCTGAAAGGTCCACGTATTAAGATATTTTTCAATTTCACAGAACTGTCTTTTTGGTGTGGTTTTTTCTTTGTTTTCATTTTTGTCTTCTTTTACCACTTGTGATGCCTAGAAATACTGTGACACACAGAACTTTATTGACATGGGGGTTATGGCAGGAATATGAATCAAACATTGATTTCTGGAATGAAAATAAAATACTGTACGATTTTGCAGGCTCTATATATGAAAACAATACAAACAGTAGAAGAGTTTGTTTAGAGTATGTTAAATCTAACAAAGTGACACTCCTTGAAAAAACATCAGAATTTTGAAAGATGAGCTCTGAATAAATCAAGGTAGAAATTTTATACTGTGCCTTTGGCTATGCATGTGTAATTTCCACTGATATCAATGGAAGTAGTATGCATGTATTTGAGAGCAGAATTTGCTCCTACAATCATCATGACAACATATATAAAGCATATACACAGCAGAAGCACAAAACCTACCACATAGCTCATTACTGAATCTCTAAAATTAATGAAGGCAATATACTAACAAAATTACTTTATGTTTCAATCATACCTTTCTTCCATCAAAGGATATAAACATGCTTTTCAAATATTAATTAATTAAGCTCAAAACACACCAATGAAAAAGATACAGTAGAGTTAGTGCACTGCACTTTTTCTAACCCCAGTGCAATCAGGCATTTGATTATTTCAGATTCTAAAGTCCTTGCAGTTTGTCAGATACAAAGAGGACACACTGAACATTGCTCTTTATTGAAGATCTGTATTTCTGTACTTCAGTCTTAATAAGTGAACGTTTAGAATGGATGACACGACTAATTCCCAAACAATGGTGGCACATTTATTGCAAGCTTTCTGTGTGATAACAGCCATCCTGCTTTTGTCTAACATGGGCAGAACGTGAGTTATCGACAACTTGCTCAGCAGGATATACTATCTATTTGTTTCATAGCTATGGGCTGTATTGAGATTGAAGAGATGTAAAGTGTTGATCATAAGTAATGAATCTAGAAAAGCCAAAAAGGGAGATTTCTGCTTCTGTACTGAAGTTTGAGATAAACAAACACCAAACCCAAAAGCTCTCAGTTGCTCCTGACTTCAAGGGGAGCTGAAGACTCTCAGCACTTCCCAGGAGTCACTCAGCATCTTGCAAGAACAGGTATCTGCACCTTTAATACTGATTATAGAAGGATTTAGCCTGATGGAGATTAAAATACGTAATAATTAGAGATGTGTGAACTAATTCAGAGAAAACAAGGAAGTTGAGCTCACAGAGCTGTGCCTGTTTCCAAGAGCTTCTGACATATCTAAGCCCACTTTCCCCTTTCCCACCCAAATTCTTGCTTGAAACCTGAGCCAAACTAAATGTACCAAAATGTTCCGGCAATCAGAATAGCATCTTATATTGCCTTCAGTTCCTCTGAGTACTGCAGGGACTGAGCACTCTGGGGCATAATTAAGGGGCTTGAATTAGAATATCAAGCCCAGTACTGGCAGCTTCACCCTTAGCATTTCTCTCTTGTAAGGAGACTATTAGCACAGTATTAAATCACAAGCCATTAGTATTACCCCTTAATTGTTCATCTGGTAATTAGATTCACTTACAGCAAGTCTGTTTCTTGAGTGGTATTTTTCCTTTATTTGTGTACTATTTATTTGTTATTGGCTTTTGTTGGTTCTTTTAGCTGTCATGAAGCAGAATTAATTTAGAAACAATCTGTTTCACGTAAACCAATTTTCCACAAGTGCTAGACTCCATGGGTAAGATTTATAACTCAGGTTGTTGAGGTCTCCCTATGATCTCAAAGCCTAATGACTGATTTTTAATGATCATTCCATGATTAATGAGTCTTGACATGGAAGGTCCAAGGGAACAAAAATATAATAGACATACTGTAATAAAGAGAAGTATTTTGTGAAAATAGCCCTGCAATGGCCAGACAATGATACAGCCAGTAACTTATGCCAGGCCCTTGCTTTAATTCTGTTTGCTTTTAAAAGTATATACACATTAGTAGGGTCTCCATCCCATTGTCACCATGGCATGTCCATGTACTCACATACACACAAAATGGATTATTGTCCAAAACTTACAGCCAAATCCTGGGCTTTTTCTTTATTCAGAATAACACCACCACACACAAAACTAGTTTATCTGTTCCTAGGGTTTCCCCTTACAGGACTTCCTTTCTCCCTCCCTGTCTCTCATTTGCTTTAGAGATGCTACTTTTAATACTGCTGAGTAAGCACTAAAGTGACCCAACTGATCTTCTGCCAGGCTGGGTCAAAAGAATAACTCTTTCCCACCACACAGTTTTAGAATCTGACATAATGGCATGAACACTCTAGGTTTCACAAAAAACTGAAACTATTTGTTTCTAATTAATATAATGTGCCTTCAACAGGAATAACAGGCCAGATAGGTTTTCAGTTTGGGTTTTTTTTATTTCAGAATCTTTTAAACTTTAGCAAAGTAACATATTGAAAAAAAAAGAACAAAAACTCCACCAAGAATCAAACAAATCAACCTCATGCAACTAGCCATACAACCTTACCATGGTTTTAATGCCCTAGTTGTTAGATAATCTGTGAAACCTGAAATGGGGGAGAGATGGAGGTGGGGGAAGAGGGTACAGACATGAGATGGAGATAGTAGATTCTGATGCTCAGGGAAAATGAGTCTAAAAGCTGCATGAACAATTTTGTGTGTTTGTTTGTTTATTATAAATTACTATCCCTCCCCCCCCCACACTAGCTTTCACCAGTGAATAGTGGCTTGAAATAGGGCTAACGTGAAACATCAATATCTGAGGGGTTTGTGTGTGTGTGTGGTGCTGAGATTTCACAAAAAAATACATCAATTTTCACCTTGCTACTGAAGGAAATCGTGGACTCATTTCCA